TCCTTTCCTATGACCTGGCAGATGTAGACCAGTGGGAAGCCGGCATTCCCGGGTGTGCGCGGGGGGGGGTGGCCGTACCGTCCTGAGCCCATCCTTCCGTAATGACACGTTCCACGTGCCGATGGTCCCGAGGGTCTTTCTGTGATACAGATCTATATTCACGGTGGAAATGGCTACTATAAATGACTTTTTAAGGAGTTCCTTTTTGGCAGTTATTTTCCAAAGAATTTGGGGCTCCGTGAAACACCCAGCGATTTCTTGTTAATGCTACGAAGTCTTAGCCTGCCTGTGTGCGTCCTTTCAGATCTCAGAAGACCGACGTTCCCAATGATGGCTACGTGCTGGAGTTAGATTGCTGCTCCTCCTTAGACCACCTGACGGACCAGAAGATCATCCCAGAGTTCATTAAGAAGGTGAGCACCGCGGTAGGGTGTGTGCGGGTTCACAGGGACCGGCGGGGCTGGCTGGGGCAGCTCCCACACTCCAGAGGCCCTCGACAAGCCAGGGCCAAACCTTGGGCAGCCCTTAGGGCAGCAGGCCCCCACGTCACACAGACCGGGTGGACCCTGGAGCCAGGCGGCTGCCCTTCCTCCCGGTCTTTCAGAGCTGAAGCGGCTTTTCCAGGCACACCATGCCCCTCCTGGGGCTCCTCTCAAGCTCACAGGGAGGTCTGAGCCCTGGATTCACCTTCCTCTCGCTCTGTGGGCCTCGTGTCATGAGCTCCTTCCTTTGCTAGCGGAGGGGTTTGACAGGCCCCGTGGCCACTGGTATGCAGTTACACTGGGGAACACTGCCCGTTGGTTGGGAGTTCATATCTGCCCAGAAACGTAATGGTTTTGAACTTGTCTCCATGCCATGTGAGATTTTGTGAGATGGCAGGGCCCACTTGAACTTTAGTATGACGGTTACTGCAGGAGGGACGTCCTTGGCCAGAGGAGGGCAGTTTATTACGTAGTGTTTACCTGGTTCTCCATTGCCCAGTCTTCCAGAGTAACTGGCCGTCCTGGACAGGAGCCTCTGTATTATTTTTCCACCAAGAAAAGGAAGGAAGGAAGGAAGGAAGGAAGGAAGGAAGGAAGGAAGGAAGGAAGATTGGGTCCAGGCAAACTGGAGACCGTGCCCAGCGGGGTGGCACTGAGCTCTCTGACTGCAGTGTGTCCCCAGATGTGCACCCCAGAGCCTCTCACTATGCCCAGTGGGGTGGCACTGAGCTCTCTGACCGCAGTGTGTCCCCAGATGTGCACCCAGATCCCCTCACCTCCGCTCCCCTGGGGTGTCCAGGTTGCCTGCACTGTCTGCCGTGAGGGCTGGGCCGGGAAGGGCCGCCATGGCTGGGTGTCGGCCCTGGCTGTGGCTTCAGTTTCGAGGCCAGCGGCCATGACAGCCAGGAGAAGAGGGACATGATTTCTGGAGAGACCCTCAGCTCCGTGTGCAGAGAACAGAGGACTGAATGCCCCTCTTCGGGGTCCCTGTGTATCCCAGTGACAGCTGCATTTTGTACTGGTGGGCGGCCACGGGTGCTCCCTGGGAGGAAGGAAATCGTGTCCACTTGCGTTTTCTCGTTGTCAGGATGTAACGAGCTGCCGGGTTCCTATCGAATGCGCGTGGTGCTGACACTTGTTCATTGCCGTTCTGTTCGGCCGAGCCCAGCCTGTGTCACTGGCTGTGAGGGCTTGCAGTCCCTACGGTTTACCCGGGTCATTACTCTGTGTGAAGTCATGGCTCCCATCCTGTGACGAGTACTCTGTCTCAGGACGAGATGGTAATGAACTCATGTCTCTGTGCCATCCGACGGGGGGCCCAGACTCTTCTCTGCATATTAGAAATTAAATGCCAACACATTCTTTTTTTTCCCCTTAAGAAAAGTGCCCCTCTATTATTTTTCCACCCAATTGTTTAAATGAGCAGAGCCTTTGGATAGAGGACGTGCATAGAAGGGGAAATGAGATTTCATTACTTCCCACAGTTAGGAAAGATAAAGTGATTTGTATCAGTGTCGTGGAGAATCACTGAAGGGGCCATCATCTCCTGCCCCTCGTCAGTACGACTCTCCGAAGGCGGGGGGGACTGGCGTAAAGACGACTCTTGCTTTCAGGGAGGTCTTATGATGGCTTCAGTCTGTCACACTGAATCTGGTGACTGCGTCCTGTCTGTCCCTGTTATAGCCAGCTCTGCTCCACTCGCCCGCCCCTGTGTAAATGATTTATTATGCACTGTCAGACATTTAAAATGCAGAGTTACGGGCAAGCTTGGGAGAATATGTTTTCTCAGCCCTAGAGCTGATGCTTAAGGGTGAGGAGTTCTGAGGCTGGGGGCGTGACGGTGCCACTTGAATCCCTGTGGGACAGGGACTCTGCGGCTCAGGTGCACCCAGAGCCTGCCTCGCCTGGCTTGTGGGCCCACGGGGCCCTCTGCAGCTTCCTCTTTTCAGAGCTCCCAGAGGATGCTGGGAAGACGGAGCAATGCAGAGTGGAAAGCCTGCCCGCTCATCTTCAGATGGCTCCACGTCCCTGAGAGCGTGTCCGGAAAGTGCTGCCGTGTGGCAAGCACTGGGAGTGTTCAGCTCCCTGCACACGCTTCCTGGCGTGTCCTTCCCAGGAATTCAGACCAGGAGGCCAGGCTGGCAGAGGCCGGGACTCAAACCCATGAGCCTGCAGGAGCCCTCCGTGGGAGACCCGGTGGGCAGCAGAGGGACTGCGCCCAGGAGGAAAGTTCTTCGGCCAGGTGGGCTGGGGGCGGACAGGTGTCGTGT